AAAAAACAATTGTGTTAAAAAAAAAAAAAAAAAAAAAAAAAAAAAAGAAAAAAAGGAAAATGTTTTGAGATTACTACAAATCTTAGATATCAGTATATTGTGTATAAAAATGTAGAGCTGATAAGTGCGTATATCATGCTACAATCATCTGCTGAGCGTGTCGGATGAAGTTGAAGTACGCCTATGTTGGTAGATGTATGGATGCTGCCTGGATGAGTTTTCAGCCTTTTTCAAACGTAAAATGTCCCAGATGTGGTGCACTATAAGGTCTATTGCCACTGTAAACATACAATAACCAAACCATGTACGTTTTTATATGACCTCTATTTTGCACTAACTTAAAAGATAGCTTGTATTTTAGCAGCCTTTACATACCAGGCAGCACCCGTGATGAGTGTATATGTATATATGTATACACATATGTATATATACATATATGTATATACATGTGTTATATTTATTATATATATATATATAATATATATATAGAATAAAATTTTAAGCTGCCGTATTAATCTAAATCTGCATCTGGAGTGCATTAATTAATATATACTTAGTATCATCATTAACAAATATAATTATCATGATTATAAAATTATCATTAATTCTCATGTCTGATTAGGTGCAGACTTGATGAAATTGAATTTTGGTTGTGATAATGAAAATTAATTTCATGAACATATCAAATGCAATTAAGAGTCTATAAGTAATTTATGTTTCTAATTTAAATTATTGCACATGATCTTTGTATATTATATGAACATTATAATTTACCTGTATTGTCTGCACCCCTTGGTATGATAACATCAGCAAATTTCTTAGTAGGAAGACAGAATTCTTCAAAGGCAGGTTTTACAAAATTCATATATTGGTTCAATACATAATCTAAGTCCCTTCCTCTTTCTTTTATATCTCTTGGTACTGTAACAATTGAAGAAATTGTACAAATATGCTACTTCAAAAAGAAAAAAACGTAATAGATGCATTATATTATCACCTCTTCTGGCTAATCTGGTATCTGAATCAGTATCCACAAATAACTTCATATGGAACAAGTCTCGTATTTTAGGGAAATAAAACACTAAAATGCCTTCGAATAAAACTACATCAGCAGGATAAATTGTTGTAATTTGATCTTTCATTCTGAAATCCATCAAAACATGATTAATATAGCATAATAACTTAAAATAATAATAGTAGAATAAAATTATCTTAAATAACACGTACAAACTATTTGTTCTATAATCATAAGCTGGTATCTCACATTTCACCCCAGCTAGTATATCTTGTAACGTTTGAAGTATTAAATCATTATCAAATGCGTCAGGGTGATCAAAATTATATTGACCTTTTTCAGCTTTAAGTTTTTCGGCTGGCGATAAATCTCGATAAAAGCTGTCTTGTGAAATACAAACTACTTGCCGCTGCATGTGATCCATATCTACCTGCCCTAATTTTTCCATTATACGTTTGCACACAGTTGACTGAAAGGGAGAAACAAAATTATATTAATCATCTCTTCTATCAAGCATATTAACCCGGGATTAGCCACCTGGGGGTCTAGCGCAGGTATATCCCGGCGACTAGACTCCCACGTGGGTAATCACGGGTTAACAATAGAACTTATAATTTTGAAGTTCAAGTGCTTTTTTATACAGGTTATGTCATATCTTATATAAAGCATATTCTGTACATATCATTTTAATAACACTAAGGTATTTTAGAAACACACGATGATATATTACTTACTTTTCCACTTGCAGTGCCCCCTGAAACTCCAATTAAAAATGGTGTTTTGCTTTCTAGACCATTTAATTTCCCATTGATACCGAAAGACATCTTTCGCGGAGTAACAATATTCATTGACATATCTGCCATTGTTACAAATTTACTCAGATCTTCCAGAATTAAATACAGAAGAAAAAACACTTAACTAACAATGCAAAAGAATCTCAATTAATGACTCGCGTGTAATACGATTAATTCCGGCAAGGATTCTGTGAAAATACAGATACACAACTTGACGTAAATCGTTAGATCCAATACGCGCGTGCGCACCTACAGGCGGTATTTAAATGTGAATGTACATATATTTATACAAACGTAAAAAAAAGACTAGAAATGACCAAATTTTTTAGGTTATTTATACAATTTATATTATTTATATTATATAATTTTCTGTTTTGTATTTAACTCGTCTAATTTAATAAATTAACATTGGATTTTCATTCTCTTTAATGGTATTACAATGAACTTCAATTCTTTTTCAATTTTTAACTATAGCCGTAAACAAATGATGTATTATTATATTATTTGTTTGAAATAATTTATGTTTCCATTATTCACATTAATAAATCATAGTTTGTTATCGTAATTTCACACTTCAATAAAAAGAGTCAATGATATCTTATATTTTTAAATTAATAACAATATAACCTAAAAATCTTTGTGTTAGATATAGTTTCTAATTGTATAATTCGAGTCGAAAACAATAAATGTTCCAATTGTTGGAGCGGAGACTAAACAAATTTTAAAATAGGTAGATATGAGAAATCAACGTCTCGGTGTCGTCGACCGATATGATAATTTACAATCTTGTTATTTTATTACCAAAATCTAATTTAATCTTATTATACGTATAATGTTGTTTAATAATACATATTAAAATATTTTACGAATGATATTTGCATCTACATTAAGGAAAATAAATATTTAAGCAACAAAGATCAAATCCAATTGTATACTTAAATGTATACTATTTTTTGTTCTTTTTTTTTGTTTACAGTATCAATCCACAAATAATTATATAACAAATGACCCCGTTTTATCTTTGAAAATAATGTGGAATAATTTTACCAAACGTTATGTTTGTACAGCAAGTTATGAGGTAACTTTTCTATGTTTTACATAGTTATTTAAATTTTCTGTTTATCTAATATTTCATTATGGAGCAAGAATTTAATAATACTCTTGATGATGATAATTTATATAAGGTATAATATAAATTACTTGATTTATATCAAATAAATGAAATAAGAATAGATCAAGGATTGAATTAAAGAAGGAATAGATTGCATATATACATATGTATGTTTATCAAAATTATTTCTTCAAAAAAGAATTCTGTTTATAGGCTGCTATAAAAGCATTACATAGTTTACAAAGCAATAGTAGTTATTTAAAATTGGCAGCAAAAAATAATACACAACAGAGTGATTTTTGCAAATTGTTTGATACAAAACAATATTTACTCAGGTAATAATTTCCTTTTTATATTATATTAAATAAAATCTTATCATATAATCAATATATTTTATTAGTTGGTATATTTTATCTATAATCAACATATGTTATCAATCTATGTAATTGATATAATTAATATTAAAACAATTTAATAATATAACATTTGCAGATCTGGTATTGCACTTGAAAAGTTAGATACTTTGTCAGTTATACATGTAGCAGGTACAAAAGGAAAAGGTTCTACTTGTGCATATACAGAATCTATTCTACGTGAACATGGTTTTAAAACAGGATTTTTTAGTTCTCCACATTTAGTTAATGTAAGAGAACGTATAAGAATAAACGGACAACCAATAAGCAAGATGCATTTTACTCATAATTTTTGGAAAATATACAAAAAACTAGAAGATGCAAAAGAATATGAATCTGATATGCCTTCATATTTCAAATTTTTAACAATTCTTATGTTTCATTTATTTTTGGATGAACACGTTGATGTTGCTATAATTGAAGTTGGAATTGGAGGTTTATATGATTGTACAAATATTGTAAGAAATCCTGTATGTGTAGGCATAACTAGTTTAGGGTTAGATCATACTTCTTTACTAGGTAATACGCTTGAAGATATAGCTTATCAGAAGTCTGGAATTTTTAAATCAAAAACTGTTGCTTTTTCTGTTCCACAATTATCTGAAGCAATGCATGTATTGGAGAAAAGAGCAATTGAAAGAAATTGTAAATTACGTATTATTCCATCTTTTGATGAATATAAATGGGAAAATCTTTCACCTATTTTACAAATAACAAATAAAGTTCAACAACAAAATGCATCTCTAGCTATTCAGATAGCTACTGAATGGATACTATCTAAAGCAAATAAAATTCCAAATGTTTTGCATAATTCTGTAAATAATGTAGTTTGTAATAAATACGAAGAAAATATTGAAATAACTGTATCTATGGATAAGATTGCAATAGGTTTAGCTTCTTGTAAATGGCCAGGTCGAATGCAAATTTTGAAAAGTAGTGTTGGTGACTTTTTTTTAGATGGTGCTCATACTATTGAAAGTATTGAGTGTTGTATTTCATGGTTTAATGACATGAGCAGTAAAGGAAAAAAATTTTTAATTTTTAATATATCTAGTGGACGAGATTCGATTAAATTATTAAGACCATTAAGATCTTTACATTTTTATAAAGCATATTTCGTACCAAATATTGCGGGAATTAAAAGTTTAGATGATGAAATGAATAGCTCATCAATAGACGAACAAAAAATAAAATGTGAAATGAATTCTAAAATATGGGGAATGAATTCGATAGTTCTGAATAATGTTTTTGAAGTTTTAGAAGATATAAAAAAGAATTTGGAACAAAAAGATGATTGTGAAAAGAATCAAATACTTGTTACAGGATCTTTACATTTAATAGGTGCAGTTCTTGCTATTATAGATCCGAATTTAACAATGAAAACGCAATTTTGATATATATCTTAAGAACTTGAAATTATATGATGTATTTATGAAATGTATAAAAACATTAAAAAAAAAGAAAAACAGATTAAAAAAACATTTTTTTATAAACAATAGAATTGTATATTTAATAACTATATTAACAATTGTATCAATTTATAATAATATAATGATAAGATATTGCATTGTTTGATAGTAATTGCAAAGTACTTATTGATATTTTTCCTTAACAATTCTTTTGTACTTTAGTATAAATATATTTTGCGTAAAACTATAAATAATTGCAAAGTTATAATAATTTGTACACATGACAAATTAGTGTTGCATACGTTTACAAATCGAATGACGCAAAAAATACGTGAGGCTAAAATAAAAACTAAAAAAAATGCTTAAAATATTTTGGTATGATAGTCTAATTCTGATTCTGCTTCTGTATCAGATAAACTTAAGGAAACGCCAGTTCTTCGTCGTAAACGATTTTCGTCAGGACTCTGAAATGTATAAAAAGAAGTTTTAGATGAAATTCTATATTTAATAAAGAAGCACCTTTCTAACTTGTAAATATTTATATTTAGTACTTGGCATCACGTAAATCATTATTTTGTAAATAGGAAAACAAAATTCTAGAAAGGCTATTACTTAAAAAAGAATAGAGATCAATACCTGATCTAAAATACCGGCAGTGGGTTCAGAAGCATAACCTACTTCTTGTGCATCTTCTTCTAGATCTGCCTCATATTCTTCTAATTCGTCAGTATCGGAATCAATTTCCAAATCAACGTATATACTTCCCCTGGATACTTTACACACCATTTGAGCCAAATCTGTAAAGGTGTATGAAGATACTGTTTGCTGATTCGCCGCTTGGTGTTTTGCTCGTAACGCCCGAGCATTTTCTCTATCTGCATTAAACCGAGGCAAAACTCCAGCTTTTAGTTGTCCTTCGAAATAAGTTTTTCCTGTAAAAAAATATGTTTATATAATAAATGTTTATATATAAATGTTTTTATGGAATATGATATTTACCATGTTGATAGCCGACGTCTTTAATTTCATCAAAGTTAGCGAATTGAAGAGTTTTATATTTATCTATTGGTGGCCTAATATATTCGCAATAATCTGAATTTTTAACTTCCTCCAACTGCCGTACACAACTCACGTAAGCCAATCTTGATTGTATATCGGGTAAATTCGGAACTTTGACGGGCGTTGCAAACGGATTCCATCGTTTCCACAACAACCACCAACCGGATAAAGAATCTCCATAATTTGTTAAATCCGTATCGTCTTGTGACCCAACATCAATGGCCAAAATATGATGCGCTCCTTGCCTCAACATTTCGTCAGCTTGAACAAAAAAAGTATAAAGCCACATATTGAAAATTTATTATAATGTATAAATTATTACATCTACGATATATATGATAAACAATACAGGTTTAAGATACCTGGCACGTTATTAACATAACACCCATCGACCAAAAGATGCCCGTCAAGAGGATCGCAAATAGGAGGAAAGACCCCCGCAATGGTCATACTGGCTCGAATGTATCTCCATAGCAAACCTGAGTTGACTTAGCTATTCAGGATTTGACAAATGCATCTTTTATCAACGGGAGTGAGCTTCATATCATTTTCAAATTTATATTACGCTTTTGAGTTACGATGAATCGTTCCGAACTTATATCAATGAAAAAAGGGACTAGTAAAATTTCCTTTATTCATTGATATGAAGTTGTTTTTAATGTCCAGGTAATTTTATAAAATTAAAGAGGAAAATCGTAAAAATATTTTTGTCTAAGAGCGTTTGTGCGTTCAACTCAAAATATGTATAGCACATATACTAATATAACATTTTAATACTGTAGTGCATGTTTATATCACATAATAACGAAGTTAGACGCACTCTTTTAATGTAACGCTCAAATTACCTGGAAGGTTATTGACGTACCCGCCGTCGAGTAGGAGATGGCCGTCAACTGGGTCACACATGGGTGGCATATAACCAGACAAAGACATCGAAGCTCGAATGTACCGCCACAGCGATCCTAAACACGACGAATTAAGTTCTTAAACATATGTTTGTATTTTACTTCGTACTTCGTATGTTCATCTATAAATTATGTAATATTCTTTTGGTGCAAGATAACTTTAAAGCTCATTGTTACCATAATTCATTAAAAAATATCTAAGGAGTTTATTTTTTATACATCTAGTTTTCAAGCGAGAAGTGATTCGACATTTGTCAACAAACGATACAGAACGGAGAGTACGTCATTATAATACAGATTATCCAGAAAGCTCACTCCCGCTGTTCAAGCTTATTTCTACGCAATGCTTTATGGTAATGCTTATTTAAATTTTAAAAAAAATGGGATTAGAAATGTATCTGTGAAGTTCTATATAAATTTCACCAAAACAGCGAGAGAGTTTCCAGTTAGTTATTTCTAAATTATTTAAATTTATACCTTAAATGTATGTTAGTAAAGGAAACTGGAAACTATCAGTGCTTTAATTAATGTTATACTATTTTCGTTTTTGTACAGACCGTGTGTATGAGTACGCATACAAGAATCAGTGATGTCTGTGGTTATTGTAAAATATGGTAACCACAAGTCTTCTATGTATGTATCACCAAATGTTGCTTGAATCGTACTGTTGAAGTCTTTTCCAGAGAACATAGATGTTACTGGATATGTTAAATCCATTATCTGTCTCCACCATTGTGTCATTTTCTATCGAAGAAAATACACGTTCATATAAACAAAAAAATAGAAATAAAAAATATGGTATGATCGATGATATTTACTCTAGACCATTCCCGGGCTTTTTGTGTTGTTGTGGTTATGTTTTTTTCCATACACCATAGAGCACCCATAAATGCTCCAATACTAACTCCGCCAACCATATCTATAGGTATACCGGCTTCGATAACTGCTTTAAGCATCCCTACATGGGCTGCACCTCTAGCACCTCCACCTCCAAGTACAAGCCCAACTGAAGTTCCAGTTAGCCAACGAGCAAGTCTACTAAAATCACTATGTATATTTGGCTCAGACATTAAAACTTTGGAATACAACTCATTCTGAAAAGAATTACAAATTATTAATGTACATTACACATAATGGAATACTAAATTAAATAGATTATAAAAATAAAACATTTGAATATTGGATTTTAATTTCTTGTATCTTACAATTCTATATTGAGATCTTCTTGTAAACATTCGTTTAGGACATTGAATATGGTGATGACTAGAAACCCAAGATCTCATATTCAACCACTGCACCGTATTCGTAGGTCGCTGTCCACTTTGTTCTTTATGTAAAAGTACTAATTCTTTCTGCGTTCTCATTACTAAACGTTCAACTTCACGTTCAGTTCTACCTATGGATGGAGGTTTATCTCCTAAACCTACAATAAGAATACAGTCAGCTTGTCGAACACATCGTTGGGTCCACAACGTGTATGTTGAATCGCATTGATATAATGAAATTCGGTGTTGATCCTCTTGTTGCGCAAGCCACGACGTTAGACGATATTCATTTGCAGGTTCCATTATGGTGCTACCTAACGTCTGTTAATTAAACAAAAATACAGATATTCTGTAAAACTTTATTACTTGTATTGTAATTAAAAAGATATTTCTTGCATTAACTACACTTACTTTTCGAACTACATCAGAAGTAAGGCGTAAGCATGGTCCAATAGCACATAGTGAATGATAAAGTTCATACGTAAATGCTGTTAATGGGACATCGTCGGATACTGGAACTATTGCAACAGTTGAAAAATTTACTTGAGCTGGTCTTGCATCAACTGTTGCAGCGGCCCGTCTATAAATACGTTTATGTAAGGTGATCAAATTAGAGAAAAGAAATTATTAAAATATTCTAGATATGTACTGTGTATCGCTATTGCCATTTTTTGCATGCGCTTGTTGCCAGGTGCCAAGAATACGATGTCCAAGTAAATTTATAAGTCTTGTAACTACTATTGGATAACGAAGTTTTATAACATTAAATAATCCTTCCGGAAGTTTTGCTAATTCAGAATCTCGTACTGCCATCACTGTTGTTGATCGTGGCGTTTGTGTAACCATTTCTACAATACCCACAAGATCACCTTTTCCATATTCTGCAACGAGTTCTTTTTTCCCATTTTTATACGTGATTACCGACCGAAGTCGACCACTTAATACAATAAATGTTGAATCTGACTCATCTCCTTGTCGATATACTGCTCTTCCACTTTCAAGAAATAACCAGTCAAGTGCAAAATCAACCTTTTGAAAAAAATAAATTAAATAATCAGCACTAGTTACTAGTGAAATAAATATTTTTAATATTTTTACCTGTCTTACGAAAGGACTAAGTCTTCGAACAACTGAGTGAGCAACGTGTAACACAACAGTTGGTTGTTCTCGCATAATAGCGAAAAATGTTGATTTACTTAAAAGTGCTATGCGACTAGAATGCTTTGCTCTAATAGTATAAAAAGAAGGTTCTCCAGTCAATACAGCTAGACCACCAACAATTTCACCTTGATGAGCACTAAACATGTGTACCTCTTGACCCATATCTCTACTTTCTGAAACGCGTTGACTGACTATCAATGAACCAGACACAACATAGACAAGTGCAACATCCTGGAGCCAAAGAAAGAAAAACTAAGAAAAAAGGAATATATATTCTTATAAATAATGAATAATAATATTATAAAAATATTAACCTTATGAGATTCTTCCTTCATCAAATATGTTCCAGCTGGTACTTCTCTGATTTGAACTTTCCCATCTCTAAGTATTGAATCATCTTCTAAACCAAGTTCTCGTACGAATGCTTCTGTTGCTATCTGCACAAGATGTGTTTCATCTAATTGTTGTTGAATTGGTTCAGTAGTAGTAGATTTCTTTTTGCTTGAATGTGAATTTCCTGTATGTATCACATCTGGTTGTGATCCTTGTTGTGACGTTATAGACGAAGAATTTGGCCAGTGAGAATCACATTCTGGTACCATATCTGCCGTGTTCTGACCTGATTGTGGACTTAAATTTTGATTTTTCCAATCAAGATTAGTTTTTGGCCTAATACGAAACAAATATTAATAACATATTTTCTATTTTGTATCATTTTTGTTAAACTTACCGTCGACTTATAACAATAGGTACACTTTGATGACTACTTAACGTAGAATCGCGATGAAATATTTCATTTTTATCATGTTCTGATGAAACAGTTGCAGATGTATTGGATTGATTTTCTATATTTTGAACTGAAAAAGTTTCTTTAGTTCTTGATCTAACTGGAGATCCAGAAAATGGACTTTGTTTTTTTTTGTGTGATCCTTGATTAACTAATTCTGCAGATAACCCAAGATATTGATGTAAAGCGGTGAAAGTGACTCTTTGGAGACGAACCATAATGACCTGGATAACTCGAACAAACGCATCAGGATGATCTTGAAAAACCTGCAAGATTTAAAAATGGCAATATTTTGTTTTAATTTATAATTTATAATTTAATTGTACCTCTTGAAATGCATTCATTGGTAACTTGACTACTATAGAATCCTCCACAGTTTTGGCTGATACCGTTTTATAGGTACTTGTATGCCCAGTAAGTACATCTGTGAAGCTAAGAAGACTAGTTACTGATTCTCCAGTTTTTACTAATTTTAACGATATTTGAGAACCATCAGGTCCTGTGATATAAACATTAACTAAGCCTTGTTGTACAATAAATAAATTTTCATCTGGATCTCCAATTTTAAATAAAGTGCTTCCAGCTGGTAAATTCATAATCTCTGTGTGTTTGCATAATTTAAGAAATACTGGTTTTTCAAAATGACCAAATACTCTGATACTTTGCAACATATATAAAGCATCAGGTGGTACTTTCTCTCCAGGACCTAAGTCTTCTTCTAGATACTCAGCAGGTGGTTCTAAAACCTTACAAAAAATTACAAAAAAAAATATAATAATAAATACATGGACTGTAAATATAAGAAATAAGAAATATAAGAATTGAAATTTATATACTTTTAATTGTAATGGTGCTGTTTCTTTTTTTAGTTGCAAAAGTCTTCGTGCAAATCTCATAACAGCCTTTCTTTTCTTTCCTTGTCCAGTTGCATGTACTTGTCCACTGATAGATTTCACTTTTCGCAACATTTTTCTTCCATAGAAGAGTACCTTGTCTCTTTTTCTGAATCTGGGTTTGCCTGTGCCTACCCCAACAAATTCTTTCACTTCTGGAAGAAATTCTTTGTTCTTCCATTTTCGAAGAATGAGTATAGATGTAATCAATAAAATCAGAAGACTCAGTACTACAACTGTAAACAGAGTCTTTGATATTTGGTATTCTGCAATTAATTTGCCAATCCATCTTGAAAATAAATAAGAACCTAAACTTTCATTACATTTATTGAATAATTCTACCACCTATAAAAAAAAATTAGTTTGTCAATAATTAATTTCATTTGATATTCATGATAATGAAATCGAGTGTTATAAAAATACTTTGTACAAATTGATCTCATATGTCAACAAATAGCTCAAGTATTTACAAAATTATGAATATGTATAACAAATACACAACCTCCATAGTGAGTATTCATTTCTTCCATCAAAGTATAGTAGAATGTCAAACAAAAACTGCGTTACAAATCCATAAGTGAAAGGCAACGAAATACGAGGTAGATGGATTAAAACAATGTTTTTGCTAGTGTAAAAAATTACTTATCTACAACGAATTAATGACCTTTGATACTTCGCTCGAGTCATCCAGCGCCATTTTAGTCACTTTACAAGTTTGCAACTTACAAGCTTACAGTTCGTTTTTTATTGTATTTCAATTCTAATTAATTTTATACAATTACTAAACATTTTAAGAAGGTCGTTTTCGCGTGTATTTGCGATAATGTTTATGTTTCGTGTAATTTCCATACTTCTAGAACCAAAATATCGATGTTAAAATTTAGTAAATCTTCGTTTTTCAAATAAAATGTATCACAAATTAATTTAAAATGTAAGAAAATAATGCGGTATTTCTAAAATATTAAACACTCTACTACTGTCTCCTACAACAGAGTGTGAGAAAAAAGAAGATTTTAGATACTTGAAAGAATTTCCCTTTATTCCGGGAGAAACATGTAAACCGTTCATTGTATAGATCTTTTATTTCTTTTGAAACAAATATACGTAATAACAATCTCGCGAGCTCAAGTAACATACCAATTTTCAGCGAACGTCGTGCAACGTTGCGCGTCACTATCGTCGAATGCTGCATCGCAAGCGTTTGAAATATACCCGCCAATATGCGTTCGACAAATGGTAGAGGTTTCCCCACTTAGTGTCTGATTC